GTGAATTCAAGGCCAGCCTGAACAGACCCTACTCAAAAAAAAGCATATCTGTAGTTGCTCCGAGCTCGAGATAGCAGGAGGAATGAACCATAAAAGGGCTTCCCAGGAGCAGCATTGCTCCCCTCTCACATGTCAGTTGGCCACTTTGAGAGCTCCAGTTGTTTCCATGCATATAGGGCTTCCTTTGGCCCATCTAATTTCTTTTTTTTTTGGTACTGGGGATTGAACTTGGAACCTTGCACTTGCGAGGCAGGCAATGGAACCAGTGAGCTAAATCCCTGGCCCCTGGCCCATCTAACTTCTAGTGGGCTCTTAGTTGGTTTCAAGTATCCTAGTGCCTGGTGTTCTGTACTGTTGTCCAATATTGGCTTTCTTAAATACACAGTAAGTTTTTAAAAGTGTTTCATTGAGATACAATTCATACATTGAACAGTTCATCCATTTGAAGTATATAGTTCAGTGAAATATCGTATATTCACAGATATACAGCACTCACCAGAATAAATTTTAGAATACTTTCCTCACCATAGTAGTAAATTCTGTATCCTTGAGATAGTACCCTCTAGCTCTAACCACTCCAGTCCTAAGCAACCACCGATCACCTTTTTGTTTGTGTACATTAGCTTCTATAAATTGAGTCATGTAATATGTGGTCCTTAGTGACTGGCTCCCCATCCCCCCACCCCCCCCATACTGGAGATTGAACTTAGGACCTTGTGCTTTCGAGGCAGGCACGGTACCACTGAGCTAAATGCCCGGCCCTGCGACTGGCATTTTTTTTTTTTTTTTTTAACTTAGGATGTTTTCAACGCTCATGCATTTTGTGGTGGATATCAACACTTCATTTCTTTTCCTTTAATATTCCAGTATGGGTGTATCATCGGCTGATGGACATTGGGGTTTCTGTTTTTCAGCTATTAGGAACAATGCTGTTACAAACATTTGCATACAAATTTTCATCTGGATATGTATTTTCATTTCTCTGGGGAGGATACCGAAATTGAAAGTCCTGATCATATAGTAACTATATGCTTAATTATTTGAGAAATTACCAAGCCATTTTTCAAAACAACTGCATCTTTTTTTCTGTTTTTTTTTTTTTTTTTTGGTACCGGGGATCGAACTTGGGTCTTTGTGCTTGTGAGGCAGGCAGTAAAACCACTGAGCTAAATCCCCAGCCCCACAACTGCATCATTTTATATCAGTCATTCTTCCACATTCTCGCCAATATTGTGTTCCCTTTCAAAAAAGTTATAGCCAGCTGGGGATTTAGCTCAGTGGTTCTACTGCCTGCCTCGCAAGCGCAAGGACCCGAGTTCCATCCCCGGAACCAAAAAAAAAAAAGTTATAGCCAGTGCATTGTGCATCTTGTAGTTTTGATTTGCATTTTTATAATGACTAATGATGTTGAATTTGTTTTCATCTTTTCAGGTGCCTATTGGCCATTTGTCTGTATTTCTTAGAAAAATATGTATCAAGGCCCTTTGCTCATTTTCCATTTTGTTTGTGTTTCTGTTACTGTACTATGAGTTCTTTGCATATTCTGCAAACGAGGCGCTTAACAGATTTGTGATTTGCAAACATTTTCTCCACTCTTCTGGGTAGTGTCCTTTGATGCATAAGTTTTTATTTTGATAAGGTTCGATTTATCTATATTTTCTTTTGTTGCTTGTGTTTTTTGGTATTCATATTTATGAATTTGTTGCCAAAACTAAATTCATAAAGATTTATCCCAATGTTTTGTTTTAGTTCTTACATTTGGTTCTTTGGTCCATTTTGAGCATATTTTTAATATATAATGAGAGGTATTACAGCCAGCACTTGGGAGGCTGAGACAAGAGTATTCCTGTGAGTTCAAGGCCAGCCTGGGATACATGGTGAATTCAAGGCCAGCCTGTACTGCATAACTGCATAGCAAGATCCTGTTTCAAAAAACCAAACAAAAATAGAAACCCCAAAATATTCAAAGAAGAAAAATTGCATCTTTACTGAGCATGCAAAGACATCTATTTCTTAAAATAAAAGACATGTATTTCTTATTATTTTCTGAATGATACATTTTTTTTTTTCTGGTACCAGGGATGGAACACTGGTCCTTCTGCTTGCAAGGCAGGAGGCAGAACCACTGAGCTACATCCCCGGCCCTAAATGATACATTATTAACAAGTATTCTAACTAATATTTAGTAACAACTATCTCCATAGCATTTTCATGACCTAAGGTATTATAAGTAGTCTAGAGATGATTTAAGGTATACACAGGATGCATATAGGTTTTATGCAAATTTTTTGCCATTTTATGCAATGGACTTGTCCATCCTTGGATTTTGGTATACGTGTGGTGGTTGGGGTATCACCAATCTCCTGTGCATACCAAGGGACAACTGTAGTACACAGGCATGATTGCTGTTAACTTTTTGGTAAGTTTTGCAATTGGGAAGTCTGAGTCTACTTTGTTTTTTTCTGAGATTATTTTGGTTTTGGTTTTTTATTTTCTTTTTCTAGATTGGGGTTTCTCTATATAGTTTAGGCTAGCCTTGAACTCATGGCAATCCTTCTGCCTCTGCCTCCAGAGTGCTGGATGACAGGCATGCGCCACCATGCTTGGCCTGGAAGCATCTTGAGGGAGTGATGCATTAGCCTTACCAGAGGTGCTATTTAGAAATCCAGATTCTCAGGGCCCAGCTGAAAACCTCAGGGTAATTGATGCAGAAGCTAAATTTGAGAAAGCCTCCTTAGAAAGCAAGATTCTTTTTGTCTTGACCAGCTTGGCTTTTTTTTCTATGTACGAAAGCGCAAAGACTGGCTTGCTCATGCCAACCCTGAGTCCAGAGCCTTTCCCTTCTTTCAGGATGACAGCTGCTCACCTGGTCCACTTCAGATTATGTCTGCTTGAGGTGAAAATGTCCCTTGAACTTTTTCGGAAAACATTGGGGTTTTTTTTTTGAAAACATTATTTTTTAATAATTTAAAACAAGTTTTAGTAAATATATTTGAAAATTTAGATTTGTCTGTACCTTCTAGGATGTTAGTTTTCTTTTTCATTTTATACATTTGTTGACTGATTTAGATAATCCAAGAGAATTAAATCATACAGTGAGTACTGATTCCTACAGGTATGGCCTCATATTACCTGAGCTTACTTAGGGTCAACATGTAAGTAACCATATTCATCACAGGGTATTACGTGGTGGTAGTCCTTCTGATTGCATACATTGGGAGTGAGATTTGGATCCCTTCTGTCTTCCAGATCCCTTTAAGATGCACCATGATGATAATCTTGCAGATCTGCTCTTTCTCTCCAGTGGAACAACAAATGTTCCAGTGCTTATGGGGCAAAATGATCCCCAGGAGGACAGTTATGGTATGGCTTCTCCAATCAGATTTATTCTATAGAGAAGGAAAAATGTTTCCTAGATTTCATTTTTTGAGACCCATATAACAAAAGACACTTCAAACAATGGTTATAATTTTGTATTTGTGAATAATCTGGATAATATATTTCACTTTTACTCTTCTGTGGACTTAAGATCTTTTGGAAGAAGGATGTTAAATGAGTCAACTGCTGACGTTCCCCATTTGGCCTCCTGATACTTTGATGATGTTGACTCTGACCCTTTTCTTTGAGCTCACTAGTTAGTGAGTCATCCTGCTGCACTGCCTTCTTCCTCACAGTGCTTTTCTTTCTCTGAGTTTCCTCTGCTTTCACCCTAGTTGCCTCCTAATTCGTCGTCTTCCCTTTTCTTTTTATGTTTTATTTTTGTTTTTTGAGACAGAGTTTCACTACGTAGTTTCAGGCTGGCCTTGAACTCACTATGTAGGCCAGGCAGGCCTTGAACTTGCAGTGGTTCTCCTGCCTCTGCCTCCAGAGTGGCTGGGTATATGAGTGTGTGCCATCATGCCTAGCTCTCTAACTCCTTTTTCTAATCCATTCTGAATATTACTGCTACATTCATCATCCTGAATTCCTGTTGTGTACTCATCTGATTTTCATGATTAAGACCTTAAAAGACACTGTTTTTTCTTCATTTCTAAATTTCTTTGTTGGCTTTTAAGGTCTTTGTTCTACTGTTTATTTTATTCCTTTTTGCCATCTCTGAGATACAATATACAAATGGATCTGCTGGTCCCAAGGCCTGCTGGCATCTTTATGCTTTTTTTGCCCAGTGTCTCTGTGCTTGAAATTGACCATCCGCTCTCTTCTCTGAGACCTTCTGTGGTAGGTCCTCCCATCCGGTTCTTCTGAACTCCTATAGAACTTGCTCCGTACTATACAATAGTATAGTGTACTATACAATATGCATTATTTGGTGTATGTATATCTGCCTAAATGGTAACAATTTAGCTGAAATGTAAAAATCTTTCCACACATAGTGGCAATGTGCTTGTAGTCAACACTACTTTAGGAGGCTGAGGCAAGAGGATACCTGAGTCCAGGCCAGCCTGGGCAACAAAGCATGACTATTTCTAAAAAAAAAAAAATGTCATGATCTTTTTTTTTTTTTTTTTATGTTACCGGGGATCGAACTTGGGACCTTGCGCTTGCGAGGCAGGTGCTAGAACCAATGAGCTAAATCCCCGGCTCTGTCATGATCTTAATATCCAGAATTAGCTGGTATTAACTCTTAAGGTATGTGGCATAGGATGACATAATAATATTCCTCTTGTGGCTCTCTAGTTGTTAATAATTTACAAAGCATTTTCACAAAGGGTGATGTTAATCTCACTTTTCAGATGAATTAAGGCTCATGGTTCCTTACTATACACTATTTTACATTGGCTGCGGTATTGCTAGGTTTAGTCTCTGATATTTTGAATCTTTTTTTTTTTCCCCTCCATTACTGGGAATTGTACCCAGGGCCTTGAACGTGTTAGGTAAGCGCTCTATCACAGAGGAGCACACCCAGCCCTTTCTTTTAAAAATTTTATTTATTTAAATTAATTAATTAATTGCAAAGCTAGGTGTGGTGTCACATGGCTGTAATCTTAGCACTTAGGACACTGAGGCAGGAGTGTAGGGAACAGGGAAAGAGCACGTTACTAGAACCTCTGCATCAGGTCCTAGTCTCCTGCGAGCCACGGCAGCGCAAGGTGAATTAATTAATATATAGACAGAAATGAGACTTAGGGAAGGTGAGCTTTGGCCTGATCCATGCTGCTCTGGGCTGCAAAGACCCCAGACCCTGAGCTTGCCACACCTTTATTTAGTAATCAAAAACAAAAGTACCAGATGACTCAGAGGGCTCTGCAGTGATCCTAGAACAATGAGGAACTGTGCGGATGAAGATTTGGCTCCTCCCAGGATGTTTCCAGCTGGTGTGGTCCTGCCTGGGAGCATCACAGCATCACAGGACCATTTAGGTCTAGCTGTGACCAGAGGCAAAAACTGAGTTATGTCTCCACATGCCTTGGCTTGCCTATAGGCAAGAAAACTAGGCCTAATCATGATTTAATTATGAAATGATTTTTCCCCAAAGTCATGTAGAATTGCTCCCAACACAGGATTATTGCAAGCTGGAGGCTAGTCTGGGCTACATAGTAAGTTCAAGGCCAACCTGAGCTATATGGCGAGACCTTGCCTCAAAAATCCTAAAAACCCTTAATTAATTAATTGTAGTACTAGGGATTGAAGCCAGGGCCTTTGTATTGAGCTACATCCTCAGTCCTTTTTATTTTGAGACAGGGTTTCACTGAGTCCCTTAAATTGCCGTAGCTGGGCTCAAACTTGTGATCCTTCTGTCTCAGCCTCCCAAAGTACTGAGATTGTAGGCCTGCACCAATATGACCAGATTTTTGGTTTGTTTTGTTTTCATCATTTTGAGACAGTTTCACTAAGCTAGCGACCCTCTTGCCTCAGCGTCCTAAGTAACTAGGGTTATAGCTATATATCACCATGCCCAACTTATTTTGGATCTTTATCATACTCTAGAAGATAGCCAATAAATGTTGATTAATGGCACTACTACGATGTAATGATACTATCCTGCATATTAACAACTACCCAAAACCTGAAGAATGTCCACAATGTTGCTTTTGAAAACTTTAGTGCTGCTAGGTAGGTATGGTGGCACACACCTGTAAACTCAGAACTCCGGAGGCTGATGCAAGAGGATCATCTGACTTTGAGGCCAGCCTTGGGCTGCATAGAGAGAATTTGTCTCAAGAACAAACGAAAAAACTTTAGTGCTTTGTTTTTTATTGGTCCTCAGGCCTATATATTCTCGGCAATATATACAGCTGGTTTAACGTATCAAATTGCTTTTTTCCTCTGTTATTTATGTCTCAATATTAGATATGTCTTCCTGTGACACATTCGCTCCTGCCACTATTGCACCTCACGGATGGTCTATGCCAGCCCCAAACTCTGCCCATTCAGAATCCTTTGTTTCCCCGGAGGACTTTGGGGAACCTCCACAGCCAGCTGCAGGTATAAATTACTTACACTTTTATTGTCAGTTAATGGGTGCAGTATCTATAGTCAGTATAAATCATCAGACACACTTTTAGCAGCTTATAGAAGACACACATAAAATTTTCAGAACTATCACTTTTTTTTTGGTACCGGGGATCGAACTCAGGACCTTGCGCTTTTGAGGCAGGCGGCGGAACCACTGAGCTAAATCCCCAGCTATCACAAATATTTTTAAGCTTATATTATTGATACAGCTGAGGGAATTGTAGTAGAACTATGATAGTTGGGGTTAAGGAGCTATAGGGAAAGGAAATTTAATATGGTCCATTTTTCAAGATAAGATAGTTAAACTCTGGGGCCGGGGATTTAGCTCAGTGGTTTTGCCGCCTGCTGCGCAAGCTCAAGGACCCAAGTTCAATCCCCATTACCAAAAAAAAAAAAAAAAGATAGTTAAACTCTGAGTGAAAAATTACTGGCAGTTTTCTAATTGTCTGACAGAGTTCGTGGATTTGGTGAGTGTCTGGTCAAGTGAGACCTTGAGGGAAAGAAAAATAATGAGTAAGAGAGCCTTGGTAGGCCAGGCATGGTGGTACATGCCTGAAAATCCCAGCATTTGGGAGGCTGAGGCAGATGATTGCCATGAGTTTGAGGCCAGCCTGGGCTACATAGGGAGCCTCTGTCTCAAACAAAACAAAGCAAAACAAAACGAACGAAAAAAGACAAAAAGAGAGCCTTGGTACAGAAGATAGGCATGAGTATAGTCACCTGAAACGTCTGCTTCTCGGAAAATCCCAAAATAAAGACTAGCCAGGACTATAAAGAAATCCAAACTCAAATTGGGAGGGGGATTGGGGAACTCATAGGTCTCTTTCAGGAAGATTGTACCTCCCATAATTTTCAGCTAATAAAAAACAACAGGAGGGCTGGGGATTTCGCTCAGTGGTGCTGACACCTGACACCTACCTCGAAAGCACAAGGTCCTGAGTTCAATTCCTGGTACCAGAAAAAACAAAAACAGTGGGGAAAGGGACTTGTGTGTTGGGGTTATAAATTGTTTGCTGTGACCTCTCTGTGTGTGCCTGTCCATCAGACACCCAGGCTTGCAAGACTGACCGCACTGAAGCCTCACTTTTGCTGTTCTTTCTGCCTGTGGAGTCCTTGGGGTGGGGGCAGTCTGGACAAGTGAACCCATTTCTCACAGCAGCAAAGAATGCAGATTTAGAACTCTGGGGTTTTTTCCTTGATGGGACGGGTACTGACCAGATGTCTCACAGGTTTCTGTCCCACTACTGATTATATAATATATATCTTGAAGCCTATATTTTCCCTCCTTTGCCTTTTCTCCTACACTGCTTGTCCGATCATATATTTTGTTCTTCTAAGTGTTGGGATTATCAAAGAACAGGCAGCATACATGTGTTTTAATTGTATTTTGTGGTCACAAAAGCCAAATACTCTTGTGACCTAAGAAATTAAGTTTTGAATCCAGAACTGTGAGTGGACAGCTAAATGTTTATTTAGGGTCTTAATGTTTATTTCTCTTAGAGCTGGCCAAGGAGATAGATCTGCCATCAGTAGAAGAGCAACTACTGACCAACGCATTGGATATAATGACAGGACAGAAGTCAACTGACATGGCACCATCTAGAGAAACAGAGGTGGTGCTGGCCAACGTCATGGGACCAGCCACAGAAACAAAAGTGGCCTCTGCTAAAGGTACAGAACAACCCAGCAAACTGGATGTGGCACTAGTTGAGAACACACAGCCATCCATTGAATCAGATACATCCCTGGCCAAGGACATGGCACTACTCACAGAAACACAGGCTGCTGCAATGAAGGACATGGTACTGCCCACAGAACCGGAAGCGGCCCCAAGCAAGGGTGTGACAGAGAGTACACCACTTGTACCGAAGGATTTGGCCCCACAGCAGGCTATAGTTCCTCCCACAGACACACAGATCACTGTGGCCATGGGTGTGATGTCACTCTCGGAAACAGAGGCAGAACTGGCTAAGGACAGTGTATCATCCATGGAAATATCTCCAGCCATGGAGATGGCTTTGTCCTCAGAAGCAGAGGTGGCCCTGGCAAGGGATGTGGCCTTGTCCCCAGAAGCCCTGGTGGTCTTTACCGAGGATGTGGCTCTCTCCTTGGGAACTGAGGGGGCCTCAGTGAAGGATATGGCTCCACCCCTAGAAACAGAGATGGGGTTGGGCAAGGATATGACTTCACCCCTAGAATCAAAGGTGGGCCTGGGCAAGGATATGGCTGTCCTCCAAGAAACAGAAATGGCCCCGACCAAGGATATGGCCACACCCCAAGAAACAGAGGTGGCTTTGGGCAACGATGTGATTCTCCCACCAGACGCAGAGGTATCCCAAGTAAAGGATGTGACTCCACTCCTAGAAAAGGATGCAGCACTGCCTCCACAAACAAAGGTGGCCCTGGGTAAGGATGCAGTGCTGCCCTCTGGCACAGATGTGATGCTGGCCAACAATGTGACCCCAGTCAAGGATGTTACACCACCCTTAGAAACAGAGGTGGCAGCAGTTCTGAAAGACACGGAAATGGCACAGAGCCAGAAAGGGCTAAGTGAGGATCCTCAGCTAGAGTCTCTCCAGAGTGAGGCACCTGCAGCTCCTGGCCTGATTTCAGCAGGTATGGGTCTCTGCTTACTTTTACTGTTCTGAGGGTCTGATGTCCAGAGGACTAAGGGATGGATGTCAGGCCAGGTAAGCTGGAGGCAGGCTTCTTGTGCTGTCCAAGTCTGTTCATATTCCTCCTCTCCTTGACAGTGGTTCCCCACCTTCCTTCTCCTCCAACTTCAGCATCTTGTCCATCCTTATTCTCTGCTGATCTTTTTGGTTTTCTTTCAGATATTTGAAGCAATGAACTAGAACATCCACAAACTTCTGTTAACCCCATCTGGCCAGTGGAATGTGTCTGTAGTTACAGACTTTGCCTTCTTCCCTGTTTTCATAAGCCAACTGTTCTTACTGCTAATCAAGGCCAGCCTTTCCTCTCACTTGACACTAGTTTCCACCTCTCCTTTCCTAGTCAAGTATGTTGTCCTATCCGTTACTCTCTTTTCTGGGACTCACCAATTTAATACCCTTTCAACTGGGCCATTCCTACCAATTAATAAACATTTGTAATTTTTCTCATTTCAAAAGACAAAAGCAGGTGTAGTGGTACACGCCTATAATCCTAGCTACTTGGGAGATTGAGGCAGGAGGATTTCAAGTTCAAAATGAGCCTGGGCAACATAGCTCAGTTCCAAAGAGAAAAATAGACAAAAACAGACACCGCACTAACTGTACCTTCCATCTACCTTTTCACTTTTCTGCTGCCTGTTATTGGAAGATTGCTTAAAAACAGGGCCTGGAATTTAGCTCAGTGGTTCTGGCGCCGGCCTGGCAAGTGCAAGTTCCTGAGTTCGATCCCCGGTACCAAAAAAAAGATTTAGGGGCTGGAGATTTAGCTCAGTGGTTTTGCTGCCAGCTGCGCAAGGGCAAGGACCTGAGTTCGATCCCCAGTACCAAAAAAAACCAGTTCCCATCAGCAGTTATGGTGGTGTACACCTGTGATTCCGTGCTCAGAATTGAACCCACGGTCTTCACCCTGACCTACATATTAGCCTTTTTAAATTTTTCTAAAAGTTTTGCAATAGGGTCTTATTAAGTTGCCCGTGCTGGTCTTGAACTTGCAGTCCTCTTGCTTCAGTCTCCCACAGTGCAGGTATTACAGACATGAACCACTACACTTGGCTTGAGCAGGAAGATCTTGAGGTCCTGGCCAGCTTGGGCTACACAGCAAGACCCTGTCTCCAAAGCAAAACAGAGCACATACACAAACACACAAACCCATTTCTGTTCTCAAATCTGGTGGTTGCAAAGGTAGCTAAAATAATGTTTCTCTGAAATTTATATGGTTTTTACTATTACCTTTAGAACCAATCAAAGCCTCAGGCCAAAAGTACAGCTTGCCCACAGATGAAGATTTTGGGTTAGAGAAATTAGAACAGAAGAAACCACTCAACAGTCAGCCTTCTGAACCTTCTTCAGCGACTTCAGGTAAGTCAGGAAAACAGAGAGGGCTCTTTGGTACCCCTGTGTCAACTCAGGTCACTGAATTTTGCTCCAGTCCAGCTGTCGACTGTTCTCTGGTTATTGGCGTGTTACTTTAGCTCAGTTTACTCCGCTGTTAGCTGAATAAATTGGTCAGCTGCTCTGTAAACCCTTCCTCCTTACATGTGTTCCCATGGCTCTGTAGTACCCCACTGGCTGTGAATATGTTAGAAAAGCAGGATCTGGACCTTTCCAAATAGAATTCTCCTTTTAACAAGATCCCAAGATAATCTTTATATAAACTTTGAGAGGTACTGCTCTAGGATACTTTCCAATTTAAAGTTTGATTGTTCAGTGATCTCTAAGGTAATAAAATTTATTTATTTTTTGGTACTGGGGATTGAACTCAGGACTTTGTGCTTGCAAGGCAGGCCGAGGCACCACTGAGCTAAATCCCAACCCCTAAGGTGATATATTTTGGTTGATAAGCCAGAAAATTTAGGAACATGGTTATCAGGTTTTTTTCCTTTTCTGTAACTGTGATTGGAACATGAGCTCCTTGGGGACAGAGGCCATGATTTATTTCACGCTGAATTGCTAGTTGTTTGCATTCTATCTAGCACCAAGTAGGAGCTAAATAAGTCAGTTCTTTACTGTTATCTTAGGGACTTATGTCTTAGGGACATATCGGTCTATTTTATTAAGTGCTTGCTAAATACAAAGTAGACCCTACTACAGCATATATATATCAAAGTCCTAGTCCTTCCCCTTGAGTTATTATTAGTTTATAACTTGTATGAAAAGAGAAGTTCCCAGGAATGAACTCTGAAAACAAAGATTTACATAATAATTGAAGAAAATAGAAAAAGAGATGGCACCAAATAGCTTCTGATTAATTGCCAAATTAAATGGTATAAGCACTTGGAGATTGCTGCAGCTTCAAAATTTTTGAGGGAAGCTGTAGTTAACCTGAGATATTAAGTTTATTTAGAGTAGGATTTAGAGGACATTGAAAAGATATGGACAATGGGCCCAGGATTTACCTCAGTGGCACTACACCTGCCTCTCGAACACAAGGTCCTGAGTTTGATCCCCGGTACCAGAAAAAGAATGGATATGGACAAGAATAAAGGGTACTATTTTTAAATATTCTAAAGTTTTTTGAATCAGTTCATTGGGTCAGACATAACAGGAGTAGTCATAACCTACAATTCTGAGACTCTTCCCAGGAGTTTGAATCCATATTGTGATCCTGAAACTTTTCTGGAGATGCTCATCCTAATTGTTACAATTGTTTTAAAATTATTTAACATTATCTGTATTTCTCTGACTTTTGGGAAGTACATTTAGGAACAGAACATTGAAATGTAGCATATTTGTCTTCCAAAGTAGGAAGCTCTGATTCTGGAATGATGAGAATTTTTCTCTGGCCAAAATACAAATTCACTATCATTTTGTTTTCTTTCTTTCATTTAAGTAGCATAAGGCTGGCCTTCTGGTCTGCTTCCCAGAACCAAGCTGGTTAGTTTGATAGGGATTCATGTAATATTAGTGACAGACTCTTAGAACTGTAAATTCTGTTGAAAATCATAAATAAGTTTATTCAGTCAATAAATGTCACAAAAAAGAGACAAGGACTAGAAACTTAACTATCTTGTAGAATTGGGACTTACATATGAATTACGAATAATGACAAATAGAAATAAATTAAGTGAGATTTATAGGCAGTAAGTGCTTATTATAGAGTTTAGAAGATTTGAAAATTTTGTAAATATCTTTGAAAAAAAGATCCATGCCTGAGATGATGACCTCTGGTAAACCCAGTTAAGGGTGAAAAATGTTTGGAAAACTGTGATGGTGAAAATAGAATACTTAACTGAGTCACTAAAATGAACTTTTTTTGTTGTTGTTAAGAAACTATAACCAGGAATTTGTTGTTTGGAATTTTAGCTGACTTCATGTATTACAGGTGCCCCTCTCACACAAGGCAGACAAGTTTGCAGACCCAGTGACCACAGGGCAGCCCGACCCAGGCCCGCCAGGAACCTTCCTGAGCTGCCGGGAGGCTCTTCTCCTTGGAAGACTCTTGAGCCCAGGCTGGGCCCTGGCCCTTGGGCCGAGTCACATTGGGTCTCTGGCTCATTTTTCTGTGGTGAGCCTGGGAGCCAAAAGAAGAATGTTCATACTGACTTCCCTGAACCCCAGAGGGATCTTGGCAGGGAGGCCTGGGAAATAGAGAGCACCCCAATGATGATGAAGAAAAAGAAGAAGAAACCAAAGCAAAAGAGATATTCTCAACCCCGGGTGGGGGGACCATGGGATGGTGACAGTGCAGATGAGCCTAAAGGTAACCCCTCTGCAGCTGGCCCCCACCAACCTGCTGTCCTCTCCAGCCAGCCTTCCATGCTGGGCTCAGAATATGGATTTGTCACCAGAGAAGACATGAGAAGAAAGCATATGCTTGACTCCAGAGCAGCCCGACAGGGAGGTGAGAACGTCTTCTCAGAGAGTATTAGAGCTCCTTCATGTCTGGAAGAACCTCCAGCAACTACAGTCAGTGCTGAGCCTAAACTAAGAGTAGAGGAAGAGGGAAAAGATAATAGTTTGGTGCTGAAGAGCCAAGATAAGAAATTGCCACAGCACAATAAATACAAGCCAGAGCCTGCACTCCACCTGGAGACTGTGGATAAAAGCCAGACCAGGGGCCCTGGGCTGAAAGGACCCCTGACAGAGGTGCCTACACACACAGTGGCAGCTTCTTCAGAGACCAGACCCAAAGAGGGTGTGACTTGCTGTCCTGTCTTGGACCTGAAGGTTATGGGTGGAGTTTCAAAAGAAATGCCTACTGTGACAGCCACAGTGACAAGTAACCCATTAGAAAATAGTCTAAAAGAAGGGAATGATGCAAGCAAAATGACTAAATTCCAGGATGTCAAACAGAAAGAGTTTTCAGAAGGAGCCAAAGAGGTTAAAGAACTAAAAAAGGAAGCACTTCCCAAGCCAAGAGAAGAAATTAGCATCTTTGCTTTTGAACAGGGCCAAATGTTAGGTCAGGCCCCTGGGCAAGGAAATGAGCCATTGAAGAGAGTGACAGGTGATGGCAAAAGCAAGAAAGGGCGGGGAAGTTCTGGAAGAGCGAGGGGGGGTTCTGGGAAGATGAGTGCAAAATCAGAGGTGCCATTGCTTCTGGATGGTGAGAAGGATGGAAGGGCTGTTCTGGGGCTGAGTGAGCCCGTCCCCAAGACCGAAAGGATGACTGCTGAGGATAAGAGATCAGGGCTGGGACTGAGTTCTTCAAAGCTACCAGGGACTATGACTGGTCTCCCTGAAGCAGGGGCGACAGGAGAGCCCAAGAAGATGACCAGCCCGAGGGTGGGAAGTACCATGCAGGCCCTGAGTCCCCTGGAAAATGGGTCAAGCTTGACTCAGCCTTCTGATGGGACAGAAAAAGCCACAGTCAAAAATGTAGGTGTAAGTAATCAGAGCAAGGAAGGAAAGTGGCCTTGGGTGGAACATGAGCCAACTCCCTGGATTTCTGAAAAGCCTAGAAAGAGAGATAATGAAGGCAAAACCAAAAAGTTTAAAAATAATTATCCTGTACAGCCTACTAGAATGGAGGACAAAGAGGAAATCCTCAACCCATGTTTTGTAGGGAAAGATGGAGACAGTACTTGTAGTATTTCCTTGAAAAATAAGGAACTGGGCCTCATTTTCCCCAAAGCGCCAGACCCTGTGTTCTCACATACATCAGATGCACCCACAGTAGAAGTAGCTGACAGAAAGGGTAAGAACGTTGAGGTTAATTCTGTTGAACTTCGGGCTCTCGAGGGAAGCAAAACATGCACAATCAAGAATTCTGCTGTTACTGACCCAGCTATCAGTGTGACAGATGTGAGCTGCCCAGACCAAGCCCAGGTGGCAGGATTTGTTCCCTTAGTCGTGTCTGAGGAGAACAAGACCCATGCAGCCAAGGGACACACCACAGGGGCTAACAAACCAAATAACAGGAATAATGACGGAAAAAATGAAAAGATTAAAAATAGTTTGCCGGAGAAGCACATTTTAGAGAATAAGATAGATACAGCAAAAATACATGTTCCCATGGAAACCTCAGGGAGCCACAGAATGGAAGGAATGGGTTATGTGGACGAAAATAGAAATATTACATTTACCTGTCCCAGCACACTGTCAGGGCTAATAAATAAGTCAGCTCCTCCAAAGACTCTGGAGTTAGCAGCCTCTGAAAAACTGCCCCATCTTGCTCCTCCAATAGTAAAGGAAGGGGATTCCTTACCAGACACTTTGGCAAAAAGTGGGCAAGAAATAACCCCAATCCCGATGTCCAAGTTATTAGCAGAAGATAGCTGCAAGAAAGATGAAGTCTCACGGCAAGAAAGACCCAAGGCCCCCTCTGCTGTTCTGCCCTCCACAGGCAGAGCACGAGTTGCCCTGCCTTCCACAGCAGCCATAGAAACAGTTAGCAGTCATGGAGATCCCTGGCGTAAGAATAAAGGTGAGCTTAATGATCCCATGAAAAATGAAGCAGGGACAGATGAAGGGCGAGTGGCAGGGAAATCTGATTCTGGGCACCACAATGCCTCTAAGTGGTCAGTAGGGCAAAATGCCGAGCCAGCAGCACAAGGTCACCTTCTTCCTGGAGCGCCTGCAGACCAGAATCTGCCAGGAGAGGCCCGAGGCCTAGGAGAAAAGACAGACAGGGGTGGCTTCCCAGCATCTCCAGCAGTCTCAGAGCAGGCAACTGACAGAGGCTCTGTTCCAGCCCAGGTTCCTGACTCACTGGGAGACAAAGCACAGAAACTCAACTTCTGTGAGGACCAAAATGCTAAAGATAGAGATTCCAGGGGCTCAGATAGTTTGGAGAAGGAGGTAGATTTGACTCTTTTGCCTCCACAAGGTGAAAAGGATAAATCAAAAGAAAGTAGTCCAGCTTGTAAAGTCACAGAATTGGAATGTGTTTCCTTGCCAACACCAGAACTCCATTCCAATTTCTCATGTATCAAAGTTGAAGTTCCTCCCACAGGGATGGACAATGAGTTAGTAACGACTGCTTCTAAGGGTCTCCAGCTCCCAGCACTCAAAGATAACATCGTAGAAGCACCTCAGAAAATGACAGAAAAATCTGAGCCAAAGACACTGGCCAAAGAGAGGAGGGAAGATAAAGGCAGAACAGCAGAACCAATGAAAGGCTACATGAGACCTACCAAGTCCCGAGGACTTACTCCACTTTTGCCAAAATCTGCAGTCCAGGAACGAGAGAGACCCAGGCAGCCAAAGTCCAGTGGTATGAACCTGCCATGGAGAATTGTGTGTGCTTGTGACTTGAGTCAGCATCCACAAGGCAAAAAGTTTGTGCCTTGGTGCCATCCAGACTCTAATCATCCTCAATAATCACTGGTTTGTTGGCATGAAAACCTGTAACTGCTATTTACATGCTTTCCGCAGCCAAGGCATGCCTCTTGTCCAGCTTGAGAAGGCTGGTAACTTGGGTGCATGCCTTTAACTCGCACCGAACCCTGGGTTTTAGGTGAAGTTAATTAGAAACCCTATTACCACCCACTGTTCTTAATTTTAAAACAAATTGTGCTTCCTAAGGAAGGAGGATATATTTCAGTGGTAGAGTACTTGCCTATCATGTATGAGGCCCTGGGTTCAATCCTCAGCCCTCACTGTCAGGGAAAATAAAGTGCCTCCTATCCCAATGATGAATGTAACTGTATTTTATACCTAAAATGTACCAATAAAGTTAATGGGGAAAAAAAAATAAAACCATTTATTTGGTTATCTGGAAGAAAAAAAAAAGTGCCTCCTATGTGGAAAGTTCACAGCCAAATTTTAATCATTATTTGGTGTAAGGAGTCAAAGGAGGAAAGAAAATACTCATGCCTAGCTTAGAATATGAGTGTGTATGTGTAGGTGTATATATATATATATATATAGCTTGTGCTCATGGAACAAAACATCTAAACTGCTTTTAGATGAAATAAAAATGGTCTATCTTCTTCTGTGGATATGGTGGCCTCAGACCAGAATTACAGGCACAGACTTCATTTCTAGTAGTAGAAAATGATGCCTCAGTGATGTAGCCACGTTCTTTGACCAGCTTGCTGCTTACAGCTGCTGGCCCACTGTTGCATGCGACTTAGTTTTGGGCATACTCAGTGTCTGTGAAACAGTCTATAAAACTGGTTCATATTGGAGTCTTTGTAAATTTGCCCTTTTGGACTCTAACCAAATTAGAATGAAATTGATGTTGGGGGATTAATAGCATGTGCCTGTAGTCCCAGCACTGGGGAAGCCGAAGCAGGAAGATCACTATGAGTTCAAGGCCAGCCCAAGCTACATAGCAGATCCTGTCTCAATCAAACCATCCATCCTTCAAAGAAAGAAAGAAGCCAGGTGTGGTGGCACATGTCTATAATCCCAGCACTTGGGAGGCTGAGGTGAGTTCAGAGCCAAGCCTGAGCTACATAATGAGGTGAAGGCCAGCCTGAATTACACAGTGAGACTTTGTCTCAAAAAAAAAAAAAAAAAAAAAAATTTGAAGTGGTTCCTTTAAGATTTAGAAATAACTTTTTTTATTTCCCTGAAAAGCATACACTTAAAATAATGACTTCCCTGAGCCTAACCTTAAAAATTGTTTCTTTGGGCAGGGGATTTAGCTCAGTGGTTTCACCGCCTGCTGCACAAGCATAAGAACCCGAGTTCAATCCCCGGTACCAAAAAAACCCCAAACAAACAAAACTTGTTTCTTTGCCTTTCACAGTGCACAAATGATGCTGTCTCTTAATCACAGTTTTCCAGCATGCATGATACAGCTGCTAACTAGAAGTTTAAAAAGTAGAAGCCACAACAAAAGCACTCATGTTGATCTTAGTAGCCAGTCCAGCTTCTGCAGAGGCTTTGCTGTGAGAGTGCATTCTGCATGGTGTGGGCCATCCTTGGGGTGTGCTGTGCTGTGCATGGATTTGTACCCAGGAAGGAATACTTGCTGTGAGGGAAGAATGTTAGCCATAGCTATTTACATGTGATACTTTCATGGTTTCTGCTTTTCCCCTTCCTCTAGCCACCCTGTCACCAAGACAGAAATGCAGTACAGTCATGTGTAGAGGGCCTTCCAGCATCCTGCCCAGCTCTTTAGTTTGGATTTGTAAACTAGCTCTTTAGTTTTAGCAGTGATCCAAAGGGCAATGTGTAAATTCTGTGAAAACCTAGCCTGCATTTCCAAAGAAACACTTTTTTACTCATTATTTTCTTTTGTTGTTTTGGTTGGTTTTTATTTGTTCTTTTGCAGTACTGGGGATTGAACCCAGGGTCTTCGCACTGAACTACATCTCTAGCCTTTTTTAAATTTTGAGATAGGGTCTTGTTCAATCTCCAGGTTACCCAAGTTGGGCTCCAACATGCAGTCCTCCTGCTTCAGCCTCCTAAAATACAGGGATTGTAGCCTTTGCAGAAAGGAGGGTTTGTTCTTCTTGGGAAGCAGATGAGTGCTGCAGAGTGCCGTGTTGGGCAGGCCAGCTCAGGGAGTGTGTGCTGGGAGTGACCTGATCAAGTAGCTGAGGGATTGAGGGTGACGGAGGATAATGAGGTTTAGATAGAATGGACTCCCTATCAAGCCTTTTTCCTGTAGCCATTCTGTGCTTTTTTTCTGACAGGGTCTGTATTCAGGCTGGCCTTGAACTCACTATGTAGCCCAGTAGGCCTTGAACCCTCAGCCTTGGATGCTGGGACTGCATACCTGGCAACATTCCATATTTTTTAGTTGATTTTTGCTAAGTTTTAAATGGGTTAGCACTGTTACATGGTACCCAGGAATATGCAGTAAGTCTAAGTCTTCTACCCTCCAATTTTCACTCTTCAGAGGAAAATAATTGTAGAAGTATTTTACACATCTTCCCTTCCCCTATTGCTCTTTTTCAGGGTGGTTCTGATGGTTTTTGCTTGTTTATTGTTACAAATAAACTTGAGAGTTGGCTTGTATAATTTTGTAAAAGAAAAAAAAATTTGGTCAATACTTTTTTTGAAATTGCAACATTTCTAAATTACCCCAGGGAAGGGCCAGGGATTTAGCTCAGTGGTTCTGCTGTCTGCCTCGCAAGCGGAAGGACCTGAGTTCGATCCCTGGTACTGGAAAAAAAAAGAAAACAAGAAAGCAAGAAAGTTCTAAATAAATTACCCCAGGGAGCCAGGCATGGTGGTGCATGCCTGTAATCCCAGCACTAAGGAAGCGGAGGCAGGATTACTGTGAGTTTGAGGCCAGCCTAGGCTACATTGTGAGACCCTGTCTTTTTGTTTTGTTTTGCTTGGTATTGGTGATCGAATTCGCTTCCTTGCCACTTGTGCAGCAGGCGGCGAAACCACTGAGCTAAATCCTCGGCCCAAGATCCTGTCTTTAAATAGATAAATAGATAAATAATCAATCAGTCCCAGGAGTTGGTTGGATTTTTCTCTTCAGCAACTGATGCTATTCATACTTCCAAGTGTTAACCTGTCACTGTATGGTGATGTTTCTCTGGGCAGAGCCTGTACGTTCTTAGTATAGCTTATTCCACGGTGTCCAGGAGGCAGGTGCTGAGCTGCAGGCAAGCTTGTGTCTCTGACAGTCATCTGTGACTGCTACTAGACCAGCCTTGGTAAATGTCATCTTTGCTCCTCTCTGAATCATCAGTGCTAACTGTCCTACCTCCAGATGCCACTGATTCTTCCATATTCTGTCCTCATTTGTGTTATGGTCAGGTAATATCACCCATGGTTTTCAATATTTCATGAGCAAAGATATTAGTGGTCTCAATAGAAATGATAACGCTTAACATATATTGAGTGAAGATTGTGTCTGTTATCTGTAGATAGATGAGATTAGCCTCTCTGTCTCTCTGTCTCTCTGTCTCTCTCTCTCTCTCTCTCTCACACACACACACACAGGCGCGTGCACAACACTACAAAAGATTCTCTCCATTTTACAGGTGAGAACATGGGCAATCTCAAGATTAATGCCACATAGATAGTGAAGTGGCCACGCTAGAATTTGAACCCAAGTCTCTTAACTCTAAGACTCATGCTTTCTTTTTTTTTTTTTTTTTGTACTGGGGATTGAACTCGGGTCCTTGTGCTTGTGCAGCAGTTGGCAAAACCACTGAGCTAAATTCCTGGCCCGAGACTCATGCTTTCTTTATTCTTCCTTTAGAATAACTTTCCAGAAGTTTTAGGTACCTCTAAAGAAAAAGACGAGCATTGGCAATTAGTAACTATGTATTTTTATTTTCGTATCTAGGTACCAGTAAACACCTTTCTAGCTAGAGATGTAAAGCTACATCATGAGGACTTAAATTGTGAAACAAATTAATTTAGGATTAGTATCTAGGTCATTTGACTCAGTCTAGCATTTTCTTCTTCCCATAGAGTCTGTGGTAGATTTGTCTGTGTGTCACTATTCCTATACAGCATAAAGTTTTACATGTATGTGATGCCTAAAGATAGGTTTTAATTATAAATGAATTATCTTTTTTAGACCTTACCCTGTTTTAAAGGTGGCAAAATGGATATGTTGTTCCAGGTGCTTCCAGCGACTGTTTTCTCTCCTGTTTCTTTGTCAAGCCACTCTGAAATTTAGGGAAATTTAAGCAGAAGGCTTATTCACATTGTGTAGATTGTTCTAGGCAGGGAAGATTAACAAAACACTTAGGAAGCCAGAGCTCAACCTGTCAGAAAAGGCCTTCTTGCCAGGTGTGGTGGCACATGCCTGTGATCCCAGCACTTGGGAGGTTCAGTCAGGAGGATTGCCATGAGTTTGAAGACAGCCTGAGCTCCATAGTGAGTTCAAGGCCAGCCTGAAGTACTTATTGAGACCCTATTTCAGGGAAAAAAAAAATCCTTCTGTGGACCAGAAACACAATTTGAAAGGATGTTCCATATTGCACTCTAGTATCTCCTTGGCGTTAGCTGCATCCTTGGAAACCAAGGGAATGGCAGTGCACGTAGGGTGTCATTACTGGGACCCCTGGAAGGAGGCCCTTCTTTTGTCATCTTGAAGCCTGGTCTCCTTTTTATCTGGCTTCATTTCTGTTTCTTCAGTTTCCTTTAGCTCATCAGCTGTCTTTCAGCAGCTGGGAATGTCAGTTTATGGTGGGAAATTCTCTTGGTGTGAAACTCAAAGTAATTTATAAATCCAGAATCCTAACAGTTTCAAGGTCCTTGTACATAAATAAAATATGCTCCGCAGATGAAAAAATCATTTGTAGTCTTAGAACTTGCGACTGTTTTACAACTGAAGGAGTACCCACT